GTGGATTTTTATCATTATAGGGTGGTTGTGTACACACACTGCCAACACACATTTCAGTTCAAACAACAAAGTGGATGTAGCATCGGATGACCCCCTTTAACATCCAAGACTGATCTGTTAATCCAAGCCTTTTAGTGCATATGAAAATATTTGCTAAATATTGGTAGCGTGTGTCCCGTTTCTTCCTGTTACAATCAGTTTTACAAGATTGCGCCCACTATAAATATCATGACCGTTCGCACATCTCATTGAAAATAAATTGTGTCCTAGCGGGTAACTTTTTCCCGGCAGCTTTTTAATATGCTACATACACTTCAAATCTGGAAGTATGCTGTCATCCGTGTCATTATATTAGCTTTGTGCAGTAACCTGTAACAGATTTATGCAAATGTGAAGGTAAAAAGTGTATGAATAGTGAGCAATCAAGCGATTATATAACACTAAACAAAACAAGCCATTTTACAGGGTATCTGCAGGATTTTTAAGATCAAATTTAAGACTTTAAGACCTGCATAAATAAAATGAATACCATATGACCGGGGTGGGGCAATGTCTATGATAACAATCTGTAAATTGACTGTAAAAAGCATGATTTACAGTTCAGATACAGGTTTTCCTAAAAACATCACATTTCAGCCTTTAAACCATTTGTAAGAAAATGAATGCATCAAAAGAATCAATAATTATAATATAATTATTATATTAATTTAAAAAATATTATATTAATTAAATAACATACAAATATGTTATTTCATTGTTTAGATTTTTATAATGCATTATCTTCTTATCAAATCACCAATTCACATTTACAACTCTGTGTTTGCAGTGTAAAAATATGGGTTGATTTTCACATTGGTCTGAACAAAAACAGCAGATGGGCTTATTGAAAACACAAATTCATTCTCTGCCAGCAAGTGGTGCTTTTGGAATGGCAGAAACATAGCAGTTTCCCCGGTAACAGCAGTACACAAAGCAGCACAGCACCTGACTTTGAAATGTGCAGCGCTTGTGTTTATTTAATGAAATCACAGCCTTTTGAAGTTTAATCCTCACATTAAGCCATATCGCAATTCTTATCTTTTTGTTCCCAAATTTAAGACCTCTTGAAATCATAATTAAGACGTTCTTGTACCATTTAAGAATTTTTATGGCCTTAAATTTAAGACTTAAGGACCCTGTTTTATCAAACTGAAATAATTAGGCAAATCAGTCTCATTACCCAGCCTTAAAGTGTATAAGGTCTGAATGGTAACTGGCATCAATAACAGAACTTGACGCACATCATCAGAGTTGAAAAGTGAGAGGTAAATGAATCCAGGCTTGTGTAATTTCATCTCTGAGACTGCCGTATGTCTCTTCTGGCAAGTCATGGAAACCTATCACAAAGGCTATATTCATATCCCCTTTGTTAAATAAATGAATGAAACTCTTAAATTCTTAAAAAGCTGGGTCATATTACCAAGAGAAATAAATAATTTTCCATTGCTCTTCCACAATTTAAATCAGAGAACCTACTGTGTGATGGTCCTTAAATGGTTTAACACAATGTTTTGCCCCAAAAGAAAAACCAAGGCATTATTTTATCTGAACACCACAAAAAAAAATATATAGATATAGATATATCTATATCTTTTTTTTTTTGTAGTGTTCAGATAAAATAATGCCTTGGTTTCTCTTTTGAAAATTCAGCTTTGCCATAAGAAATAAATGACATTTAATAAAATACTAAACTAGAAAACCATTATTTTAAATTGTAATATTTCACAATATTAATGTTTTTACTGTAGTTTTGAACAAATAAATGCAGCCTTGGTGAGCAAAAGAGATTGCAAAATTTGATCGAAAATGCCACACAAGGACTTCTGCAAACAACTGAACCATAATGTCAACGATTCATGAATTATATTAATCAAAACAGACATTCTGAATAGATTCACAGAAATTTACCAACAAAATGTTGCTGCTGAGGTCAGCAAACACTAATAAATCCACCTTAACAGTCTCACAATTGTAGGGATCATGACATTGAACAAAAACACACTGCATTAAAATCACTGCAGTGGTCACAATTCCATATATAGCGTAGCACTAGTGTCTGCAGTTCTGATAAAGCCGGCACAAAGCAACAGTTTGTTTTGCACAATATTTAATTTGCTGCATCCTACCATGAGTCTTCTACATTTCCTTCTTTTCACCGCATGTGAACAACCTCTGTGTTTGAGTGAGTTTCACTGCAGATTCACTTACCTGCTATTATAAAGCAGCAGATGTTGCTCCAATCTCTTACAGCCGTGAACAAGATCTTCCTGCTGCGAGTCTCCACTTCTTCCTGAAACACAAACGGGAATAAAACATCAGGCCACAGCTAAAGTGGTTCTCTCCGATCCTGATCCTAAGAGCAAATCTAAACAGAGGACTTGGTGAGAGAAATGAGCACCATAAATGGAGAAATTCCCCCAAACCCAGATGTCACACATTTTACACTTCATTTACACTTCACAAACACCGTTTAAACACCTCCTCTCTGCTTCCACATACAAGTGGGGAAGCTATAAGTAAGCTTCAGTTATACTTCATAAGACACACACACACACACACACACATAACATGACATACAGGTATACATACACTAGCATTACACACACATACATTATATATATATATATATATATATATGTGTGTGTGTGTGCATATGTATGCATGTATGCGTGTGTATGTGTGTGTACGTTTTTGTGACAAATGAGGACATAAATTTGTACAATGACAAAGGTATGATATTAAACACCTCCTCTCTGCTTCCACATACAAGTGGGGAAGCTATAAGTAAGCTTCAGTTATACTTCATAAGACACACACACATAACATACAGGTATACATACACTAGCATTACACACACATACATATATATATATACATATATATATATATATATATATATATATATATATATATATAT